TTCATGTTGCTTTTGCTATGCAAAGATGACCCACTTCATAACTACATAGTCTTCAGTGATCACACTTCTGTTTTATAAAGACATTTGGTTTTTCCAGAGTTTATAATTGCCTTACTTTTCAAAATGAGTGTGCAAATATGTGTATGTATTAACTATATATAATATTTAAGTTTATATGTGTATATATGTCTTTTAGCATACATAAATATGCTAAATATTACACCCGCACATAATTCACAATGCATTCCTGGCAACCAGGGCATAAACTTGAGTGCTAATCTGAGGAACAACCCAAATGTAAATTTCAGAAGAACTGTCTGAGAGGATGTGTGATGTGTGAAGTAGTGTGAACTCAAGGCTCATCTGTCACACAGAGTGTTATTATTAATGTTCAAAGTTGCTGAATCAAGACTAACAATTGATGCATAGCATTAAATTCCTAAGAAGATTTAGAAGAGATTGCCCTTGGTCAAGGTGGGGAGAGTTGTTCCATTTTAGTTTAAGTGTGTTAAATCTGTGTGTATATACGTTAATTAAAATCCTAGCTGGGCGGTGGTGGTGCACGCCTTTAATCCCAGCACTCAGGAGGCAGAGGCAGGTGGGTCTCTGTGAGTTTGAGGCCAGCCTGGGCTACAGAGTGAGATCCAGGACAGCCAGGACTGTTATATCAAGAAACCCTGCCTCAGAAAAAAAAAAAATCCAAAGCAGAGCTGGAGATGTAGCTCAGTTGGTAGAGTGCTTGCCTGGCATTCCTGAGGCCCTGGGTTCTGCTCCCAGTACCACATAGAACCAGGTGTGGTGGCACGTGCCTGTAATTCTAGCGATGAAGAGGTGGAGGAAAATGATCAGAAGCTTGAAGTCATCTGTTCTGGTTAGCTTTCTGCTGCTATGATAAACACCGTGACCCAAAGCAACTTGGGGAAGAAAGGGTTTCTTTAACTAATATGTCCCAGTTGTAGTCCATCACTGAGGGAAGTCAGGGCAGGGGCTGGAGCAGGGGCAGAGGCAGGAGCCATGGAGGAGCTGCTCACCGGCTTGCCTCTAGGCTCACTGTCAGCTACTTTTCTTATGCAGTCCAGGCCCACTGCCTAGGGATGGCACCGCCCACAGTGGGCTGCGCCCTCCTCTATCAACTAGAAATAAAAAAAAAAAAATGCCCCAGAGACATATCCATGGGCCAATCTGATGGGTTAATCCTCATCTGAGGTGCCTTGTTCTAAGATGGGTCAAGTTGACAACCGAGATTAGCCAGCACATCATCTCACAGTTCAAACCCAGTCTGGGCTACACAAGATACTTTCTCAAAAACTAAATAACTAAATAAAATAACATAAAATTGAAAGCATCCTTTTACAGGGAGAGAGCATGTCAGAACAACAACTACAGTGAGTACTCTCCTTGCTGTCGGGGTGTCTGGATTTCAATGACTTATGCACAGTTTTGTTGTGTTGCTTTCTGGTTTCAACAGTAATCATGTGGGCTTTGCAATCAGGATTTCCTTGAGTCTTGCTTTGACCTTGCTGTGGGTGCTTGCACAGGTCAAATTCACCTTTCTGGTGGCCTTGTGTATGTGTATATTGCAGTTATGATCCCCATTCCTTTCTCCTTCTTCTCCTGGCAGTGTCCTGTGTGGTCATAGTATCATCTGAAAGAACGCAGGAGCCAGGGATTGGGGGCATGGGACAGAGGACAGGCTGACATCTGGTGACCTTGAGTGGAGCAGGTCCCTCTACTGACCATTTGCCCTTTGTCAAGTGAGGGTTACCCTGTAATAGCAGATTTATGTGTTATTTAATTCCATCCTTATGAACCCAGGATGGAAGGATGCCTCTGCTTCACCTGCTGTTTAGGGATATTTCTCCAGGTGGGGGTGGGAATTTGCCAATGTCCATACCTTCCTGTCTAGGTCCCAATGACACACCAAAGCTCACACTGAGAGCTTGCATACAGATCTTGGGAGAGGGGTCATGGGAAGGAGCTCAGGTGACCCTAAAGCATCCACACTGAAGGTGTGTACACAGTATGGATGAAGGCTGCCCTGGGGCTGTGTAGCTGGGACTCCCTTCCCCTGATCCTCTTCAGCCTGTATACCTGCCCCAGCCCCAGACCCCGTGGCTATGTACAGTTAGGACAGAATTGCATCCAACTGGCTGAGAGGAGTGACTGAATACTCAGAGGAGGCTCCCATGACCTTCTTCACTCGCTCCTTCTAGGAGGGAATTGAACAGTCAGCGAGCCCAGCTGGGTCCATTTGCAAACCAGCACAGCAGGTCTTAAGAAAGAGGGTATTACTCTGCTCAGGTGCAAGGGTGTCTAATGTTCAGTCTCTCTGGCTGGCCCAGGCAAGAGAGGTTCCAGCTGGGACCATCTTCCCCAGGTAGTGACCAGTGCTGCGTGTGGGCTCCCTCTCTGCCTTGGTGGCTGCGCAGTGACTAATGACAAGCCAGCACATTGCTCGGTGACCTCTCACTCCCGCGGCTGCTCTCCTTCACTCCTCATAACCACTTGCAAATATTAGCTCCCTGTGTCACTTCTCCTCATCAGCAACTTTCACAGGTGACAAGGCGGGTGCTCTGCAGATGGACGTTTAGTGTGCACTCCAGCCCTCATGACAATCTGACGTCTGGCAAGCCATTCCTGATGTTTCTAAGGCAGGGTGTCAGCAGGAAGATCCCCAGGGGAGTCCCAGAGGGAACTTCCGGGGCCCAGAGTTTGGGTAAGGCCAGGGCTGCTGCCAGCTCCTCAGGAACCTAGAGTTCTGTGAAAATAGATCTCCCATCATGAACTCAATGTATAGGTTTAAGAAACCCTGGCCCTGCCTGCACCAAGTACTTCGTTATTGTTATTTGTATATATGTGTATGTTATGTGCCAATATGTTTCTGCACATGTGTCAGGGGAGGGGAGGTGTGCATACACATATGTGTCTGTGCATGTGGAAATCAGAAGGTAATGTCAAGTATCTTCCTTAATCATCCTTCACCTGATTTTTGAGACAGGGTCTCTCACTGAACCAGAGCTCACCAATTTGGTCAGACAAGCTGGCTAGCAAATCCAGGGATCCTCTTGTCTCTGCCTACCCAATGCTTAGATTATAGAGACACACCCAGCTCCTTACATGGACGCTGGGGTCCCAAACTCAGGTCCTCACGTTTGTGTAGCAGTCACTTTTCTGACCGAGCCAACTCCCCAGCCAAATACCTTTCTCTTTTAAATTAATTAATTTTTAAAAATTTTTATTTTGGAGATAAGGTCTTACTATGTAGCCTAGGCTGGCCTTGAACTTGAGATCCTCCTGTGGCAGCCTTTCTGTCTGTCTGTGTGTGTGTGTGTGGGGGGGGGGTGTATGTATACAGGTGTGTGTGCAGATGCATATGTGTGTGGAATCCAGAGGACATCTTTGGGGTGTTGTTCCTCAGGCATCATCCACCTCTTTTTTTTTTTTTTTTTTTTTTTTTTTTAAGAGAGACAGGGTCTCTGGTCCTGGAACCTGCCACATAGACCAGGCTGACTGACTTACCCAAGAGCCCCAGAGATCTGGCTGACTCTGCCTGCTTGGGATTAGAAGCATGCACCACCGTACCTGTTTTTTCTATGTGCATCTGGGATCGAACTCAGGTCCTCATGTTTGCAGGACAAGCACTTTGCTTACTGAGCCGCCTCCTCAGTCCCTCCCTCCCCTCCTCTTTTTGTAGTTCACATGCACCTCTGCTATCAAACCACTTCCTCATGAAGCAAGAAGCACCCTAGATACAGCACTGGGGGGAACCTGTCCTGGTCAGAGGGCCCTCTTTTCCCTGACCGTCCCTCTCCATGGCTGAGAGCCGCAGCTGTCTAAGTGCTGACCGCTCCGTGTGAGGAACCACAGAGGGCCTTTTGCCTTTCATTCATTCTGATTTGTTTTTTATTCCCAGCCTCTTACATCCACACCCTGTATTGAAATCCCTGCTCTATAAATGTTTGGTCTTGATTTATCCTGAATAGACAGTTACTAAAGTTGCTGTGGGTAGTTTAATTTTGACACTAGCTACATTTTAGGGGAAAACAGCAAAAAATACATAAAGCTTTTCCCTCCCTGTCTCCAGAAATGTGAACTTAAATTATTTATAGTTTGATACTCACAAAACAGAGAATGGACTGCGGGTGTTTATGTAGCAGAGAAGCTCAGGGGAGTGTGACTGTGGAGAGAACGGGAACTCTTGGATAACGGAATGCAGTCACCCAGGGAGTCACCTCTGTGCCTAGCGGAGTTCCCAACCTGTGACGTGTCTGTCCAGTTACTCTAGTTAGAAAACAGAGAGCATGTTAGTTACTTTTCTCCTTGCCATGACAAACTGTCTGACTCGGACAGTGTGTGGGCGGAAGGGTTGATTCTGACTCACGGTTTGAGGGTGAACGTTCATCACAGCGGGGGGAGGCATGGCAACAGGAACAGACAGGAGGCAGGCTGGATGCTCAGCTCACTTTCTCCTCTGTATTCAGCCCGGGATCTCAACCCACAGGTGGGACCATTCACGTTCAGGGTGGGACTTCCCATCTCAGCTAACCTAATCTAGAACCTCTCACAGGCAGACCTGGTGGTTTGTTTCCATGGTAATTATAAATCTCATCAGGTTGACAATTAAGATTAACTGCCACGGTGGGTATGCCAGGTGATCTCAATAAGCAAATGCTTAGATCAATGGGGAAAAAAAATAAATAAAAGGAAGCACTTTGGAAAATACCAAGCCCTTGAAAGCTTGCTGCTGCACATTGTACCCGGTGGTGACATGTGGCAGTCAGACAAGACTGGCTGTGCCTAGACTCCATCACCTACAGTGTGACAGAGGCCAGGGCCAATGTGAAAACTTCAAACTCCAGCTCTCTCCAGGGATCCTAGTAAGTCAGGAGGTTCTGAGTTGCCTCTCAGGGTGGTTTTGCATAGTCCTTCTTCTGTTCTCCCTGAATCACCCCATCTTCCATTCTGAGAGTTTCATGGATGTTTTGTTTTCTCTGCCACAGGAGATACTGGCACCCATGAAGCCATGGCCCCTGTCATCGTGGTTGCCCCGGGCAACAGAAGTGTGGTAGCAGGGTCCAGTGAGACTACCTTGGAGTGCATAGCCAATGCCAGGTACAGGGTGGGCTCTGGATGTGGGAACATGGGAGACATCCCTCATTTGAAAACCCAGACCCTGAAATACTTTCAAAATCTTGGACTTTAAGCCTTGACATGATGCCGCAGTGAAAATCCCAAACTGATCTCATGTGTCTGATGCAGTCAAAACATAGATGCGCTAAAAAACGTGGCAAGGGATTCCCAGGCTGGAGTTTAGATGGTCACACCTCCCATGTAGCTGTGGGTCCTCTAGTAGTATTTATTTTAAGCATTCTTTTCCTGGGCAAATGGAATCATTAGCATGTATGGTCCATTGCTGCCGCAATTAGCTATCCTTGCTCAATAGCCCTTGAGCATAATGTCTCGTTGAGGAGAGCTGTGAGGGAGTGGAGCTGTATCTGGATTGATTTTTAAATGTCCATTGTTCAACCCGCCATGGCTCCTGGTAGAATTAGCTTTGTCAAGCTCGTGCTGAACGCCTGAAATGATTATTATTGCCGTCTGCATGATTCACCACCACTGTCACCGATGCCCTTACACTCTTTCACAGGCCCGTGGAGGAGCTGAGTGTGCACTGGAAGAGAAACGGAGTTCCACTCACAAGTGGACTGCACAGCTATGGGAGGCGCCTCACCATCAGCAACCCGACGTCAGCAGACACTGGGCTGTACGTGTGCGAGGCGACTCTCCGTGGAAGTGCATTTGAGCCAGCCAGGGCCAAAGCCTTCCTCTCTATCATAGGTAATGCTCAGGCCAGCAGTGGTGCTGGCTGTAGCCTCAGGTAGCTCTCCAGGCAGACAAGATAACTGCTACACGTCCCACAGACTTGATGTATTTGTGGTATTTGTGCATATGAGCCACCCACCTCTGCATGCAGATTCAAGCTGGAGGTGGACACCAGGTGTCTCTCCTCTGCAACCCTCCAATTTATTTTTTTTGAGACAGGGTCTCTTACTGGGACCTTGAGCTTGCCAGTTTGGCTAGCTGGTCAGCCAGCTCCTAGGACCCACCTGTCTCCAGCCCTAGCGCTGGGATAATAGATGATCTTCTGGTGCACCTGGCTTTTTATGTGGGTGCAGCAGGTCCTCATGCTTCTGCCGTGAACAAGTTACTGATTTAGCCACCTCCTCCATCCCCACTGACTTTTATTTTTAATCACAGTGATGTGTTTGTTTCTTTGTTTGTGTACATGAATATGTATGTCGGGGGAGGGGGTGCTCACATCCCACAGGATGAACACAGAGGACAACCTGTAAGAGTTCTCTCCTTCCACCCTGTGTCCTGGGGCTCACAGTCAGCTGGTCAGGGTTGACTGAGCACCCCCTTTTACAGCTGAGCCATCTCACTGGGCCCCCACTGACTTTATTTTGAATGCATTAAATGGCAAGTTAATCCCATTTGTTTTCAAAAGCCAAAGTAGGTGTGTCCCTCATACCTTCTGAGCACAGCTGTACTTGTTACTTTTCTCATTACTGAGACAGAACACTGGACAGAAACAGCTCAGGACAGGACAGACTTAACTTTGATTTACAGTTTTCAAGGCATACAGTCCCTTGTAGTGCAGAAGGCATGGTGGATGGTTTGGCTCTATCGGTGGGACCTTGAAACTCTTAAGAGCTTAGCCCAAATTCAGGCTGGACTATAACCCTTGAAGGTCTGTACCCTATAATCAAACTCCACCAAAAGTTCCAAAGTGTCCATCAGCTGGGGACCAAACACTGAAATATAGGAGCCCATGGAGGACATTTCACACTCATACCATAACCACCTGCCACCATAAAGCTTGAGGGTGGAGATAGGGCACAGTCCTCATTTCAGACATTGCCTGCATCTCCTGACCTTTCTCTTGGCCCAAGCTTCTCCCCAAGTCTCCCTGGCTCTTACCCTCTGTGCTCAGAAGTCAGCCTATGAGGCCTTGACTCAGAAGGAGATGGAAAGAGCTGGCTATTACCTTGGGTTGGACGGAAAGGTAAGAACAGAAGTAGTTTTAAAGAGCAGGCTGGAGGTGAAATGAAACGCACCTGAGCCGCCTCTCTCTAAACGCTGGGAGAGCACAGTCCTAGAAGCATGACTTGGGCTGTGGCTGAGAGATCTGTAAGCTTCTTGCTAGATTATGACATGGCACATTACACTGGAGGAAAGCACCTGCATTTTATTTTCCCAGCTTCCTGCATGGTCACCAGTTTGTTCTTAAAACAACTGCAGCTGCTGTCCAGGTGACCCATACTCCTCCATGGAAGCCACTGCTGATGGAGGGTACCTCCAAGGCCACTTCACTCGTCTCCTTTCTGAAATGAAAGGAATTGAAAACAGAGGGGAAAAAACCTCCCAGAACAATTGCTCCTTCAATAATACATCTTGCAGTTTGCCATTTTGCAAAATAAGAAAGGAAAAAGCAGATAGATCCCTGTGGAATTAGCAAGCATCAAGGAGCGTTGCATAGAAGGCCATTGCCCTGAGCATCCTCATGCTCGTTAGACATCAGGAGAGGGCTCTGTGCTCTCTGAGTGACTCTGATGAACACAGCCTCTCAGCCCCCATCCAGAAGAGGTCGTAAGGATGGTCAGAGAGTCTGAGCCTCGGACCAGACCAGAGCCACCAGTCACTGCTGATCCCACCCAAGGGTCTGCACTCTCCTCTGGCTGCCAGTGTTAGATATGGATGTGAAACCCACATCCTGCTCTCAGCAGAGACTTCCATCGAGGTTGATCTATGGCCGTCGGAGCACAGTGCATTATAGATTGAACTGAAATTAAAATTTGTGATGTGTAAATCTCTGGCAGACAGGACTATATTGTGTTAAAAACATTTTAAGGTAATTTAAACAAGGGAGGAAATTTATCTCCCTTTAAACTCAAATGTTTGTCTCCATCACCATTTCTTTCTCAAGTATTTAAATCTATCATCCTAACTTTGATCTCCAATTCATATCAGAATCAGTTTTTGTGCTTAGCATTCATCATCACTCATGTTCTGACTTTTAAAGGTACAGGAAGATACTTTCATTCTTTTGTGTTTATATGTGTGTATGTGTGTGTACACAGTCATGTATGTGTTGGCATCGAATATCTTCCTCAGTCCCTCTTGACCTTATTTTTGAGAGTAAAAAAAATAGGTAGATGTGGTGTGTGTGTGTGTGTGTGTGTGTGTGTGTGTGTGTGTAAAGCTGCCTGCATAAACCTGAAGAGAGTGTAAGATCTCCTGGAACTGGAGTCAAAGGCAAGTGTGAACCTCCTGATGTAGGTGGGTGCTTGGGACTGAACTAGGGTCCTCTGCTAGAGCAGTACATACTCTTAATCACTGAGCCATCTCTCCAGCCCATCATCTTCCTTGGTTTTTGAGACAGGGTCTCTCACTGAACCTGCAGCTCACCAATTCATCTAGACTGGCTGGCCACCAAGCTTCAGGGATCACCCTGTCTCCTCCCACTCCACCCATCAGTGCTAGAGTTACAGGGGCAGGGTGGCATGCCCCATCTTTTTACATATGTACTGAGGACACAAACTCAGGTCCACACAAACTGCAGCAGCCACTTTACCCACAGGGCCACCCCTCAGCCCCGATGCTTCCTGTCTTGATAAGGCTGACTTAAAGCCCCTTTTGTTTAGAAGTTGTGATAGGCAGAATTTTGTGGTTGGCTCACACTGGAGAAAACCCTGGAGAAAGTATCTCTGTTGATTCAAAGGACTCAGAGATTGTCACCACGCCTGGCCACCACATCAGGGAAGGATCCCGGGAAAGCGTGACCAATCTCCCAGACTGTCACCAGCAGAGCTGGTCAGAGAGGTATTGATATGAGCATGCAGATGAATGAAAACAGAAAGGAATCGCCTTCCAATTACACGTATTTCACACTGATGAGACGAGACAGACGGCAGCAGCTGTTTACTCTGCCTGTCAGCTTCCGGTTGGATTGCTCAATTCCTGTAGTCTAAACAGCAGTGTAAACTCTGCTCAATGGAAGGTGCCTGGCGCCCACCCTGCAGAGCCCAGAGCCCTGTCCCCCGACCTCCTTACTGCTCAGTTGTCCTGCTGTCCCTGGGCCTGGCCTCTTCTCCTCCTGACCTATGACCCCAGCTGCTGAGACACCATGCCACTGCTCCGACACTCAGAGCCGGCTATGTACACGGCCCCTTCCTCCCCATGGTGCAGGACTTCCCACTGCGCCATCATCTTCTCCTTCGTGGTGGCATCTTCCAGGAATAGGAACCAACTTTGCCCACCATGGTGGGTGGGAAGTGCTGGTGATGCCATTGAGGAAAAGCCCCATGCATGAAACTGCTGATAGACTGTGGGCTTTGCTGTGCTGTGTGCTGCCAGTGCTGTTCTAGGCTGGAGATTGTCCATGGCCTGCTTTGGTGGAGGCAAACCCTAGACCTGGATGTGTCCTCTCAGGCTCTGAGCAGATGTCTGTGACTGACCTTGGATGCCCACCCTTCAGCATCTGGCAAGCTTACCTGTCATTGAGACTAGGTGTCCCTTGAAAATCTCCCAGAAGTCACTGCAAGAAGTCTCAGCTGTGCTCTGTAGCAATTGGCACATGAGAGCAAGGTATGTGGCAGGGAGGTGTAAGCATAGGCGTTAGGGTTCACTGCTAACTGCACTGGTAACTGGCTTTGATGAGGGTCATTGATGTTGTTGAGCTTGGCTCCAATCTTTGACATGGAGAGGTGGTAAACGAGCCTACTGGCCCACACCATGGAGAGGCAAGGAAGCAAGCTCACTGCAGAAGTGCTGAATGGATGGCTTCACATGCTGTTGCCATGACTCTGTCATAGCCTATGCTGCATGGTGCTGCTGGTGGGTGTATACATCACATTAAAGCGTGTGCACATCACACTCTTTCCTCACTGAGAGCCAGGATGCTCTCGATATCCATGGAAGCATTGGTGTTTTCTTCAGGAGAAAGGATGCTAATGGTGATGGTTAGCTTTAACTGTCAACGTGACAGTCTAGGATCACCTGGGAAGAGTCTGGGGGGGCGGGGGGAGGTCTGTCTAGCTTAGATTGGCTTGTGGGTGTGTCTAGGAGGGATTGCATTAATGAAATTAATTACTATAGGAAGACTGATCTGAAAGTGGACAGTGCCATTCTTTGACTTTGAGCCCTAGACCATGGAGAAAGCAAGTTAAGCACGAAGCATGCATGCAGTTGTGGTTTCTGGTTTTGACTGCAGATGAGATGCAACTGGCTGTTTTAAGTCTCTCCCGCTGGTCCTCCTGCTCTGATGGACTGCAACCTGGAAGCGTGAGCTCCCTTAAGTCGCTTTTTGTCGGGGTATCTTATCCCAGCAACAGAAGTGACAGCAGGGCAGTGGTTCTTACCAATTATAGCATCTTGGATCACTGTGGAGGATAGCTGTACATCTTCACCTCACAACTGACAGATCTGGCATGTCCTGCAGGAACTGCAGCTGCTCTGTGCCCACCCCACCCCACCCCAGTGTCCACAGAGCTTCCCACCCCCCCACCCCCCACCCCCGGTACTAGGAGTGGAGAGTGACTGTATTAGTTACTTTTCTCATCATGGTGATAAAAATAACTGACAACAGTAACTTAAGGAAGAGGGGTATTTCTTTGCTCACAGTTGGAGGGCCCATCATGGTGGGGAAAGTGTGGCGGCAGGAGCCTGAGGCAGCTGGTCACATGGCATCCTCAGTCAGGAAGCAGAGAGAAGAACGCTGGTGCTCAGCTCACTTTCTCCTTTCTATCTAGCCCAGCCTAGGGAATGGTGCTGCCCAT